TTGTTTGTTTTTATGGCAGTCCCATCCAGGTGTAGCACTATTTGTGTAGGAGAGGACTGTGAGCTCATCAGCTTTCTCTAGTAGAAAGTAGAAAAGTAGAAACTACAGTGTGCACGTGGAGGTAAAACAGTGCCAGTGCAGGTACAGTATGTTGACTCACGCAGTGGAAAATAAGTATATAATTCTACCCAGCCATACATGGAAACTTGAAAAGTCTGGAGTCGGTGTGAAATATGTTTTAATGACCAAATTGCTTAATAGGTTTTATGAATATGATATGACATAAATCACTTCAGATTTGCACAAAGGGGGCTAGTCCCTTTATTAAAGCTGGTAGAAATAAGGTATTTTAAATGTAGACCACCGTGACCACCACCACAGAAGTTGTTTTTTCCAATTTTCCCGTTTTCTGACACAGCTACTTTATCAAACCCACATTATAATCCCACATATTCTAACTCCAATGACTCGATTTTTCTGATACCACCCATGTCCACCCATGACACTTTTCTGGAACCGTCTCCCGATATCCACTATGATTGTGACATCCCTTCACGTCCTGTTTGACTCTCCCTGCACCATGAATAAATGTTTCCACTGTGATCTAACTGTACATTACCACTTCACCACCATACCACAGAACTGTGGAAATCACTGTTAAATGTACAGTATGTTGTACATTTGGTTGAGTTTGATGTCATGTGTTAACACATGAAGTCATGATGTCTTGTCAGGGAAGGATCTTAGCAGGAGAGCAGCGTTGATTAATGTTGTCGTTAACATCTGTGTTTGTCCACATTGGCACTGGTCGCTTGTGATTTTTGAATAAAAATTTTGGCCCTTCGAGGTTCCAACATATTGATTTATGTGAGAATATTGGATCTGGACTGTGTAAACAATTGCGGTGATTGTTTCAGGGAGACTGTACCTGTTTGTTTTTTTTGGGGGGGGGGTTCTGTTTGCATGTGTACATATGTGTGCATGTCATTCCCCCGGTTGTATATCTGGTTTTGTCACACCCCTAATTGCGTAGTGTATTCTGTGACCTCATGTGTTTACTCTGGGCTGACTCAGTGAGTACTACTGCTGAAACGCACGACCGAGGCAGCTGAAATCTTATATCCTCTGGCCCCGATCACTTACTAATGAAGACACACTTTCCAACCAGCCATGCTGCTGCTGCTGCTGCCTTTTCCTTCTGCCTCACTTAACTCTCGGCTTATCACATAACAAAACAAACCTCACTCGCCGACCACCTTGGAGGAGGTTTGGGTGGTTTCATGCAAGGCTGTTGATTTTTGTCAGCTTTTCTTATTAGCTAGGAGATTATTTTTTTTACCGTCTTCACACCTCCACTACACATTTTCACACATCTTTGTTTCATCTCAATATCTCAGTTATGTACACCAGTTTCCCACCCTAAAGCTCTTCCTCTTTTCTTCTTTCTACCAGCCCTTGTATTCATCTTTATTCCCGTCTCGGTTCATCTCTCCATCCACTTTTCATTCCATCACTCCCCCTCGCCCCCTTCCTTCTCCTCCCTCTTTCACTGCTCCTGGATTCAGAGCTTGTTTACTCTCCCAGACCACAGCACTGACTCGCATCCATGAAATGATGCAATTAAGGATCCCACTGGGGCTCAATCTGTCATGTTAACACATGCTAAACCCCCGTAGAGGGCTGAGGGCAGCACTGAGGGTTGGGCGACAGGTAAGACTGAGGAGGAGTGGTGGTGGTTAAAAAATGACTGGCTTGTACTGCAGAAGAAGCAAAATATAACCATGATAAATGATACCACCCAACACTGATGGGAGAGGATTCTGATGGATGTGTGTGTGTAAGTATGTCAGCTTCTGAATGCCCACACGTCATCCAAAAACGTATTTATTACATGTATTTGTATATTTCTGTGGATCAGGGATTCATCGGGAGAGGCTTATTAAAGAAAAGTTTAAAGGGGGAAAAAAGTTTGGTGCTTAAACTGATTAATTTTGTTTTATCAACCATTAACAATACAGCAGTGTCGCAATAAAACGTATTACTGTAGAGATATAACATTGTCTAGAGCATGAAACGGATGTATCTTTTGATGTATGTTTTTTATGAGTTACTGCTTCACAAATGACAAATGCTAAACATTGACTAATCTGCTTAAACTGTGAATTTAAGAGGAAGATAGGCTTCTTCATCTTCTTTAACATGTAATTTTTCTTTCTGAATAAACTCGCCAACCAGAATCAGAGCCGCAAAGCACTC